TATAGACTTGGAATAGTCTATATAATATTGTTATTCTTGTATTATATACTTGTATAGTCTATGTGCAGAGTGCTGACTGAGACAGCAATAGTGAAAAGTATAATAATAAAGAAGCTTTGTTAATAAAACTATTTTGAACTCATTATAATTATAAAGTATAACTTTTTTAATAATAAACTTAACTTGATCCACTATCTCCTCTTATAACTATAAGAAGAGATCCGTTAAAGATCTTCTGCTATATAAATACTGTTAAAAGAACTGAAATAACAATATCTTAATTATTTCTTACTTTTAAAAGAATTAATATCAAAAATAAAACTATTAATTCCAGTTATTCTGAAAATATTAGTATAATTTTATATAATTAATTTAATAAAAATTATATAATATAATTAAATAACAAGATTATTCAAGTAATATTTCTATAACTAATTCTAATTAAAAAATTATAATATATATATATTTAATAAAAACTAAAAAAAACTAATTGTGAATCTAATTATAAAACTAATAAATTTGAATTAATTAACAGTGAAAATATAATAGTATATTTTTTAAATTAAGAAAAATAAAATAATAAAATAATTGAATAATAAGAACTAATTAAAAAACAAAATCAAGTTGTAAATTAACTATTTAATAATATATTTGCTATCAAACTTTATAAACTTGGAAAATTAATATGTAATTAATATTGAAAATGAATGATTAATTAGATAAAAAGTCTATTAAATAATAATATTAGATCAAAATTTTATTTCAAAAAAAATCTAAAAGATGATAAATATCAGAATAACTTGATTTTTTACTAGTTTTTGAATTTTATTTATTATTATAACAATAAAAATAAACAAGAAATAACTTTTTGTTAACTATTAAAAACTTAACTTTATTATAAAGAAAGATACTTATTCTTTATTCTAGCTTAACAAAATAATAAATATTCTTAATTAGAATTCTAAAAAAAAGTTTAATTTAATTTGAGTCTAATTTAGTTCAAGCTTGAATTTGACTTGAACCTGATCAAAAGTCCAGTTCAAAAATTTAAATCTAATTAAAAGTTTGATTTGAGTTCAATTCAAATTTCGAATTAGACTCAAATTTAATTAAAAGTCTGATTTGAGTTCAAGTAAATATTCTAAATAAAGTTATAACTTAATTAAAACTATAAGTTAGTTAATATTTAAAATAAATATTCAAGTTATAAAAATATAAAAAACATTTTTAATAATTTATAATTTTAATTCACTTTAGTTATGATATAACAAATATTTAATTTATTATAATAATCATAAATTAAAATTTTAAGTAAAAGTATAATAAAAAACAAGAGCTATAAATTGATATAAGATAGTTATTAATAATAATAATTATTATTCAAATAGTTATAAAGTATTTATAATAAAATTTAATAAATATAAAAATAAAAATAAATATTATCATTATCAAGCTTTTCTTGAAAAGAATATTTGATAAAATATATCTTTTCTTATTATATGACTAATAAAACAAAATATCAAAAAAAAATGATCTTGTAAAAGCTAATCAAGAGTATAAAAATCAGGAAGTTAAAGATACAGAAACTTTAAAGTTTTATTTTCGAAAAATAGCATTTTTACATAGTTGAAAAAGGATAAGAATGCATTGGATAAGGTTGATAAAACTTGTAATATAGCATTGAACAAATTCTTGAAAGTTCAATATTTAGTAATCATATAAATTTACAAATATTATTATCCAGCAGGATCCATTTTTGGTAAATTGCTAAATAATTCAGAAAGTTATAATATCAGATAAAATGTTTTATTGATCTCTTTTCTTTTTCTTTTTATAATTATTGTTAGTTTCATCAAAAGATATATATAAGTATAATGATTCTCTTTTCTTCTTATTTATCATTTAATTTCTTTTTATAGTTGTCATTAGTTTCACCAGAAGATATATATGAGTATAATGATTATAGGAAATTATATCAGATTGTTTATAGATTTTGTATAATAGAAATAGTAATGATCTCATGTAATGATTTTGTGTAAGCTTTATTTAATAAATGAACTTAATTTTTTATTTAATAAGATAGATATAGCTAAAGAAAGATTATAATAATTAGGATAGATAAAACTAAAGGAATCGTTTGTTCTAATTCTATCAACCATCTAATATCACACTCATAGATTATCAATTGATGCTTCCCACACCTAATCACGATTCATTACCCAAATATACTCAACTCTCCCTGCGTCACAACTCTACGAAATTGCATTGGACCAAACGGTCCTGAGTCACGATCGCTAAATTTAGTGTTCAGATCACAAGCTATCGCTTATCGAGGTAAGCTGCAGTCGGAGCACAAAGCCTGAGCGAGCTTAGTGACTTTCTAGCAGCAACCGTCAGATAGGCTAAACTTTATCCCTTCAGAATCTTTGCTTCTTTCCCAGACAGAACTCTCTCCCCACAACAGCAAAAAGGAACATCAAAACTATTGCATTGCATCAAGTGTTTAGATCACGGTTGTGACATTTCCGATAGGAAATTGCCCATTCTGCGGAAAAGCGCAAAAATGAGAAGAAAACTCACCAGTGATAACCAGGAAACAACTGCCCCTACCAAACCGCAACCGCCTACCAAAGAAACTCGGAATTCGACACAAAATGGAAAAAGGGCAAAAAGTTGGAAGAAAAGACCTACCGGTAAATTTCCACTCACCAACGCTTCTAACCAAAACGTCACTGACAATTTGAAGAATTCGAGGCCGAATGTGAAGAATTCACGATGACCATGTAATAATAATGATAACGGCAATGTTGTCACGGAAATCTAAATGTCATGCGCCAACAACTAGCCGAACACAATCCGTAGCAAAGCTACCGCTAGCAACAAATGAGGAAACAAACAAAGAAACTAAACTTACCTGTCCGAAATTAATCTAGCCAAAACCGCCGCCGACGAAACGTTAAATGCGACGAAAAAGCTAACGCTAAACGGAAAAAATTTCCTAATAAATACTAAGCCACCCCTAATGACTGCGTCACAAATTTACAAAATTTTATTGGACCAAGCGGTTCTGAGTCAAAATTACCGAATTGGTCGCTTGTACGACCAAACGATTATTGCTATGCTTCACGTGATAAATGACACGCTCCTGACACGGTAAAATGATTGCGAGTTACCTATTGAACCTAATTTTTACAACCATTTGTAGCAAGCAGTCAACAAATTTTCGTTCAACTGTGGCTTCTACCATATTTCCTTTTCCACCAATGTGGCTAAGCCAAATATAAAAAAGAAAACAAGAATTTGCATAATTATACAATGTTTTGTAGAAACTGATGTAAAGTGCGATATACATGAAAAGCAAATAAATTGATTAGAACTTGTTGATATACAGGGTTTTGAACTTTTGTTATGTGCGTGTACGGGATTAAAATTTCTGTTGACTGATTCGCTCATTTTTTTATTTGTTTGACCTTCAACCACTTGTAATAAACGCCCAATGCAGCGGCAGCAAAGCCTAAGATAGCAGAACCACCGCTAGCTAAGCCAACGATAGCACCTTTGCTTATACCACCAGTTGATGATGAGTTTTGGCTGCTACCCGAACTGCTGCCATCAGCGTTAGTGCTGTTACCCGAACTGCTGCCATTGGTGCTAGTGCTGCTAACCGAACTGCTGCCATTGTTTTTAGTGCTGTTAGGACTCGTCACGGGGTAACCGTATCGTTTACATGTAGAAACGAAAGAAACGACATCTACAAAGAAAGTGTAGTGATGAATTGAGATGCTATAACTAATCATAAAAATCGATGGTTTACTTACTGGATGTTAAGACAATATTGGCATAAGTTGAGCAATAAGGACATCTGTAATGGTTTTAAACATGCATCTGTATCACAAAACTCGAACATATATACACCCTTTTTATTTAAGAACATCCCATTATACCCCAAGTGTTCACATACCTTGCATACCCATTAATGAAATTCTGAGAACATGCACACGGTGCGGCTTCTGTTTGTGATAGAGATAGGAATTGATAAATATCAGTAGTGCCGGTGCAGGACAATACCGAATTGCACGCATTTATGCACAATTGGCAGTCGTCGCTTTGAGTGTGCGCTACCGCAATCAAACACGCAAGGATGGAAATACATAGGAGATCAAATTTTATCATTTTAAACTAGACGTGAAAGAATTCCGTGAACACAAAAAACGGATTAACCACTGAATGCTTATCGTTATATATAGCGATAGTATCAGGTGTAGATTTTTGGGACAAAGTATCGTTGTGTTAGGCTGCTTTTTGGGGCACAGTATTTATCTTTATATTTGTTTCGTAAATATTTAAACCAAAAATTACTGGTTAATTTTTCACTTCATAACGATAAGTGTGCGACAAACATGATCTAAGCCATATACGTAGTATGGATTCAATCAGTTGTCAATTTTTGCTTCCAGCGGGCTTTTATAAAAACTGGAGGCACATTGGAAAATTCAATTTGATATTAATTTGCTTCCAATGGTATGGATAATACCTACGTACAAGTATAATGATAAAGATAACACTACACAGTAACTCTCTTTACAGTGTATCAAAAAAATCTACATGTATTAGTAAAAAATTTTCCACCATATCGAGAGTTTTTGAAAATTTATTAGTCAATCTACTATATCGAGTGGATTTATTAGAGGCAGTTTTGGATATCATGAGTTTAATTAGTCTCCACTATAAATGGAATTCACTATAAAGAGAGTCACTGTGTACATGTAGTTAAAACATTTATCTATACGTATTGATATCGATATCGAGATAAAAAGCGCCAATTACTCACAGTTTTGTTAAATGATCAGGTCATTTTCAAAGCAAATTTAATTTAAATTAATTATATTTAATTAATGAATACAATGACAAAAAAAAATCTGGTCTGGATCATTTAGTTATTTAACAACGCTGATTTGGCCGTCTCTGTTGTTTTTCTTGTTCAAATACATCCGTCAATGCTTTGCACGTAAATTACAGTGATGCACTATGTAATCGTCGATAAAGCGTTTTATTATTACGCTTTTAGGTTTGTGCGGTGAGAAATTCTCTAGCGTGTCGAAATCTTTTGCGAATCCAAAGATTTATTCTTTTTGGTTGGGCTGTGGCCAAAGATTATAATGAAATCATTTGTTGATTTTCGTAAACCTGAATTTTAGACATTTAGAATATGTATACGCGTGATGGCTACCTTCGTCTCCGTAAACCTAGCATACTTGGGTGATTCAAGCTTTTTTAACGCTTTAATTCGCCAGAATCTGGTCCATACAATACAGTCTCCCAAGTTTAGAAGTCTGCGTAATATAATCTTATGTTTTTAAATAAATCAAATTAAGGAACAAATTTAACAGAAATATAAGATCAAAAATATTTAGGACGCTCTTTGTATCACTCACATTCTGTTTCCAGCTCACGCTTTTCCAACCTCTGCAGTGCCACTGACTTCCATCGAATCCGCAACATTTGTAGCAATAAAACAAAATGCGATTGAACACCCCACAACTGCAAAACTTCCCCACAAACTTTGGATGCAACACGCTCTTCGTTATAGATAACTGTTATTTGTGGTTGCCTATTTGGTGCTCGAAACACTGAAGTGTGTATGTTTTGTAATTTTAAAAATTATGGAATTAGTAGCGAAAAAATAGACTTGCTTTTGATTTTGATGACAATATTTAAATAATCAAATCGATTTAACACACAAAATAAAAGTTCAGTACTTGACACAAACACTACCGCTATAAATGGAAATCAAATGTACATGTACTAAATAGTTAACGTTAACGATAATAAACGGCTTTTACTGTATCATAGTCATGTGAACTCCTTAACAATTAAAGTTGAGACTCTTTTTTAACATAACAATAACAACAACAATAACAATCGAGTTCCACATATAAACTCAAAAGATGGAATTTAATTGAAATCGATTCCTTAGTGGCAGTTTCCATGCAAGTGTTACTTAATACAGAAATTGGGAATAGCATTACGTAGGTGCAGCTACGTTTATTTGTTTCAATTTTTCACAGTACGTATATGAGCCTTCAGCAAACATTAATTTATTTCACCAGCATTAAACTACCCTAACCCTAATTTAGTAGTATCTTATGAGCTGCGCAAAGTAACAACATATACTGTAACACAAAAATTTAAAGAAAAAATCTAGCGTTTCAACATATACAAAAATATGCATACAAAACTGTTTACGTACTGTATATCGATATAGTTTCCTAAATCGAGTTTTTTATGCATTTATCAATGTATACGTAGTATTTCGGAGGTTTATTCAATATGAAAGCTGCAACAATACCAATATTTCTCTCCATACCACGATTATATCGATTCGAAAATTAGAATATTCTGTTGTATGATACTGTATTCTTCCGTACAGTGGATTAATTTTAGAAATTATTCTAAAAATGTGAAAGCACAAAAAATCTTTTTTGGCTAATAATCTAAACTCTATGAAAAAGTTGTCTTATTGTATCATGTTGATGTACATGAATAATAGCGATAGAGATTTGGTACACGTTTTGGTATTGTACTGATCCAAAATGTGTAACGATACAGTACTGAAAATTCAATATGGTATACCCTTGGAAAAAGGTTAGGCATGGATTCAGGATATAGCGATAGTATATTTGTATAGAACCAAAAAGTGTGGTGGTACAGTACTGAATGTACGTACTATATGTGCAGCACATATTGGTGGCAACGCCACCTACAGAAATACATGTAACTAAATCTGCCAGAATGTCTTCATCTTCCTTAGTAGGATAGAAATTGCAATTTCTGAAATATTTTAATTTAACGCTTTTAAAGATAAAGAAGTAATTGAAAATGGACATTTTGGCGAAGTATATAAAAGCAACTTTACACGATGAATTAACGGTAGCTTTAAAAGGTCTACGTAAAAAAATAAAAACTGCGAACGAAATCAAAAATAATTTATTAAGGAGGTAAATCTGATAATCCGACCACAGATAATAAAAATATAATAAAACTCTATGTATCAAATTAGTTAAAAGTTCTTATTCAAGTTCATTATCATCCAAACATTATTAATTTTTATGTAATCACTGAAGGTAAGTATTACAATTACAATCAAATATATTATTATTGTCTGTAAAATCTATGAATAAACTTCGACTCTACCAAATCCCAGTATTCAAAAATATATGTTGGTTTTTAATTATGCTAATGGCGGAACCCTTCGAGATTATCTGGAAGAACATTTCAATAAGTTGAAAGGAATTGACAAGTGTCTTAAGCCCGACAGCTTGCAAGAGGGTAAAGTGCATACGATGAGAGCATTATTCATAAGTTAGGTAAGAATCTTCTTCATTTCTTTCAACTTTGAGTAGAATTTAATCCTTTATTTAATTTTCTCATATCACCATAATAATATCTATGTTCATAACGGAGAAATCAAAATCGCAGACTTAGGTTATTCAAAACTCTCAAATAATGATTTCAATTAAAGAACTGATTATCGTTAGGGAATTACAAGCTATTGCTATGTTGATCCAGCTTTTCTAAGGATCTGAATAATTTTCGACGAGACGAAAAGTCGGATATTTTTAGTGTTGGTGTTCTATTATAGATGATTTCTAGCGGTCGTCTTACATCCGATAAATATGGATACGTTTATGAAAATATTCCTGAGAAAGAAATAACACTATTTGGAACTCCTCCTGAGTATGTCAAGCTCTATCAAAATTGTTGGAGCAATACACCAGCAAATCGTCTAACTATAAATAAAGTAAATCAAGATCGAAATGCAATAATTTAGTCGCCACCAGAATCTCCTGTTTTCGCACTTGAAACTTCATCTAAAAGTTTGAGTTCTGAAGGATTGTCATCAATCTCTAAAGAGCAATTATCAGAAAGTTGCTCATTTTGTAAATGACATCGAAATGATCTAGATCATATTAAACCATATAATCCACTCCTGAATCACTCCGGAGTGGATTATATGGTTTAATATGATCTAGAATGCCTCATTAAGAACCCTAATTATTTGCAATCAAAAAACTCACGAATCATTAATAGCAAAATTTTCTGAATACATGTAGTGCAACTCTTTAGATGTAATAAGGCGATATTGGCTAAAAGTATTTTGTTAATACATGTATTTCGACATCAAGAAAGAAAATTGCGTGATTGTATGGTGCATAACATCTAAACTCATCAATAGATTGTATTTTATAAATTAAATAAACTTCTTAAAATTTAATTCGTGAATATTACTAAATTTCGAAATATTTTTTCTTCTAGGAGAATTGGCAAGGAAATTTTAAGAAAAAAATTGTAAACTTAAAAGAGTTTCCTAGATAAAGAAAAAAAGAATATTCCAGCCAATACTATTTCCCTTATAAGAACATCTTTGACCTCGTTGAAGTGTTTATGCTCGAGACTTCGTAGAAATATGATGTGCGAACATTTTAGAAATCGCCGTTCCCAAAATCAACATTGGTGACACAACAAATGACAAAAGGCGACTCTTCAATAAACTCTTTTGTCCTTATTGCGTTGCTTCGCACAAGCTCGTTTTTATTTCAAATTTTTTTCTACGAGAATCGAATGTTTACCATCGCATAACACTTCCCTACACTGTTCCGTTCGAAACTTAATATTCTCCCCTGCAAATAAATTGGTACATGTACTGTGATTTTTTTTTGCCGTCATTGCCATTAATAACATTGTTGTTTCTGCTGTTGTTATTCATAATAAAAATTTCTTTCTTACAACTAAAAAGAGTTTGGTTTTTTTCTTACGCGTATGGAATGACGATTACGTTGACAATTGAGCATGATTTCACCAGTCTCTTCATTCAATCCTGTCAATTTAACACAAATTGGATCAAAAACTGTCATGGCACGTTCGTTTATTTGACATATACAGAGTTGATGAGTATTTAGTAGATACGAGAATCAATATTTAACATTTTCGTACATGACTTGATGAATAATGTACTTCCATTTTCGATTAACGCAACGTGTATCAATGTCACTCAAATACTGGATTAGGAAATTCATTTAGTGATGTTTTACGCTTATCGTTATCATTATCGTTATTGCTGTTATGACCATTATCATTATCATTTATAAGAGAACTATTCTATCACATTCACG